GCCCCAGCAGCACTGACGGCGAGGGAATAATTGCAGGGGAGCAGTATTAAATGGAGGTGAATAATTGCGATTCCAGTTGCACTGGAATTCGCCAATCATGGTTTTTTTTTCTTTCCTTGGCATCTCCTACAGACCTCACCAGCAAAACGGGATGCAAATGATCTCTAGAGGTCCCTTCCAACTCTGACAATTCTGTGATGACCTGCGATGGAGAAAAGCTGCTTATGGGGAGAAAAGCCTTTGGGAGGAAGAGTCTGCCCACCCTCTGCTGGTTATCAATATCTGGCCTCACATCCCACCAGCCCCACGTTTCTCTGACACCCCGCAGGCAGCCAAAATCCCCAAGGACTTGGCACACTCTGGCCAGTCCTGATGGACCTTTGCACGGTTCCCCCAAGCACAAATCCAGGCTGGGGGGAGAATGGCTGGAGAGCAGCCCTGAGGAGAAAGACTTGGAGGTGTTGGTTGATGAGAAGCTCAACGTGAGCCGGCAGCAGTCCCTAAAGGGGCTCCAGGAAAGCTGGGGAGGGACTCTTGATCAGGGAGGGGAGCCACAGGAGGAGGGGTGACAGTTTTAAGCTCAAAGATGGGAGATTGAGATGAAATCTCAGGAAGAAATTCTTTGCTGTGAGGGTGGTGAGAGCCTGGCCCAGGTTGCCCAGAGAAGCTGTGGCTGCCCCATCCCTGGAGAGGTTCAAGGCCAGGCTGGAGGGGGCTTGGAGCAACCTGGTCTGGTGGGAGGTGTCCCTGCCCAGGGCAGGGGGTGGCACTGGATGGTCTTTAAGGTCCCTTCCAACTCTGACCATTCTATCATTCTATGATCTCCTGGAAGTAAAGCCAGCCGCAAACAGGACACCCAATTGCTCCTCACCCCTGGGCAGTTTCTGTTCTCCTTAGACCACGGTTGGGACCAGGGGGGGAGTTTTCCAGTCCCTGTGTGCTCCCTTCCAGCCTGGGAGCCTGCCCCGGGGTGGGAAGGGGAGCAGGAGCAGCTGGACACAGCTGTGTACCTCCATCTCTCTCTCCCATGCAGAACACTGGGGTAGACGAGGGGAAGGTGGGATGTTGTCCCATCCTGTCACCACGGTACAGGCTAAATTGCCACCAAAGGGATGTAAAATAATGCTGGGAAATATCCCTATGTCCTTTAACACCCCTGCCTCGCCAGCCCATCCAGTTACAAAGCACGAGGGGGGCAGGACAGAGCCTTACGATGCACCCCCGGAATCCAGTTAACGAACCAGTTCAGCTGCTGGGCAGCTGAGCGTCACTGGGCACCACAAAACCAGGGCTCCAAACTGCAACTGGGCTTTTTCCCAGTCCCAGGAGGGGTTTGCAATGGGCAACTGGGTCAGGTTTGGAGCTGCAACACGATGGAGAAGGGGGCTGGGGCAGGAACAAGACCTGGCGCAAAGCGAGACGATAAATGAGATAAATGCGTGAAAATAAATACCCATCACGGGGTGAGAGGGAACTCTGGCTTCATCTGAAGTTATTTAAGGAAATGAGAGTCTTTCCCCAGATTTCAGTGACCTCTGGAACCTGAACACGGTCGGAATTTGAGGAGAAAGGCGATGTGTGATGTCAGAGGTTCAGAATGACAAAAATTCTCCCAACTTTGTCCCATGGAGAAGAATTCTCTCCGGAGAGGAGAACTGTCAGTAATCACTGCTCCCAGCCAGGGAATTGCATCACTTGATGTAGATTCTGTTGAAAAACTTGCTCATTTAATGTTTGGGGTTGGTTTTTTTTTTGTTTTTTTTTTTTCTCGCTGTAATTATGTAATTAATGCCTTCTGAATTAACTGTCAAAGGAGGGACACTCTTTTGGTTATTAGTTATTTCCTCACAGTATTCTTACACGAGTGGGGGAGATTGCACAAAGGGCTGTTGTTCTGCCTTTTATTGCTCTCATAAGGAAACAGATCCCTGAACCTTTCCGAAGAGACTTATCAAGCAAACATTTATTATTCTTCAGCAAGAAAACATCCACCCCCGAGCCCCTTTTGTCCAAAGGGACAGGCTAGACCTCGTGGGCACTTCAATAAGTAGTGCTTATGCAGAAGAACACCATATCTCCTGCATCCCCCCCAAAAAATCACAATTCAGCCCCAAATTGCTGTTCCCGTGGTCGGGTGGGTGTTGGCGCGATGGAGGAAAAGGATCCCAAAATCAGTGTATTCCCTCAGCCCCTTTGATGTCTGCAGGAAGATGCTGCTGCTGCAGACAGCACGTCTCACTGGGGTGCGTTTCACAGCCTGGATGTGGCAAAACCACCCAAAATTGCACCCGGGATGGGACGCAGCGAAAAGAATGGAAATCCTGCCCAAAGTATTTCCTTTTTTTTTTTTTTTTTTGCTACATATTTATCTGAAACAACTTCCTACCTTTCTCCAAGCAGTTTTCACGTTGCTTGTCGAGTTAAACAGCTGGCTAAGATGAACAGGTGCAGCTTAAGTGCTCTCACAGCTAGAGAGCCTGGTGCCTTGAAAGTAAACAGTTTAGAAGGAGCTTTTCCCAGAAGCCTGATTCCTCTCCATCATTCCTGCTCACTGTCTGAAAAGCAAAGGCTGGGGAGGCTACGGGAAGAATTGCCCACAGCACAGAGCAGGTTACATCCCTGCCTGCAGGACCCACGGAGGGCTAGCCCCCCCGGGGAGGACACTTGCCAAGAAGCCGCCAAGAAGCCACCAAGAAGCCACCAGCCTCCTCCTGCTGCCCTGCAGGAGATGGGAATCTGGGACACGTTCCAGGGGCTTTATCCTGCTCCTGGCATCCCTTTGGGAGGTGCAGGGGGCAAACGCTCCATCAGGAGGAGAGGATGGATGGAGGGAGGGTCTCTCCCACTAACACCTTCAGCTCTGCCTGGTCCTCCTGCAGCCCCCCCCCCCGGGGGTGCAAGGCTGAGGCCGGCAAACTCGCCACACTTGTGCTTTCAGACCAGAAAAAGGCTCTTTGTGCATGTTCACAGGAGGGTGGTTCTCTTCTCCTCCCCCAAAAAACTCAAAATCTTCCCCCCAAAACTAAGCCACGTCACCCCCAGTTTCCAGAGGGGAAACTGGAGTTTTCAAAGATTTTAGCAACTCATTCTTTTCTCCTTCCTTCAGAATGGGTAAAAAAAAAAAGGGGGGAAAAAAACCCCCAAACCCCACGTTTCAAGTCGAGATATCACTCGGAATTTCCGCTGTGGGTCTCTGGAAGGGTAATACCCAATTTATGATGATTAAAAGATTTAAGAGAGATGTAACACATGTGCTGCAGCCTCTAAAAAGGCCCTTAAATAGGCGGGTTTGGGAATTAGCCATGAGCTCGAAGGCGGCTTAACGAGCCCGCCCCCCTTCTCCCCCCCCCCC